TATCGGCGGGCCAAATCACTCAAGCGTCCACACGGATGACGAAATCCTGTGGCCCGCGGCGTGCGATGAGCGTGGGGGCCGATAATCTTGACCGGCATACAGGCGCATAGTAACTGCATGGCAACGGCGTACTTCAACACCTAGCCAGTCCAGCTATGATGCACTCGGGAGTTGCCAACTGTGACAGGCATTTAGTGGCCTAGCAACTACATCCTGTAAATATTGCATCGGCTTTCTCATCCGACTTACTCATCTCCTTGGCCTTTGGATTTCTACTTCAGAGTCCATCCAATGGGTGTCATGGCGATGCGGTAAGTTGCATATATAATAGAAGAGGGGGGGAGTACCAAGAAGGATTAGAAAAACTGGGTTGGCCACTTCTGGCTTATTAGCCATCGTCATTCAAGCCCGTCCAGTTCAGTGTCTGGATGGCCGAAAGTCCGAACTCGGGATCGTTGTTTCTTGCTCGTTGAAAAGTCCAGTGCTCTAATTATCACTCCACGTGTCCTTTTTCTAGTCACTTGTGATGGGTCATGTTAACTGTGGTGGAGGGACGTTCTCCGATAAGCCTGTGGAACATTCCCGCACTGCTACGCTGTGGGACTCAATCTAGAAGCCTCGTAAGCAGCCTCCTAACAACCACTGTCATATGAATATATAAATATATGCTACGAGCATCGATAATTTGAGCTGATATGACCTAAGTATGAGGTCCAAAGTTAGTCTTTAAGTCAAACGCCGCACCAGTTAATCCATGATTTTTGTTCCCTGTCAAATGGGCCTTAAATATGGAAGTTTCATTCACCTATGCATTCTAACTACAGAGTGGGATGCTGTCTGATCCACTTTAACTTAGCGCAGAGGCCTGGGGCCCGTGACTCAGTGGGGGAACAATCACATCCCCAGATTCTGCCTACTCTGGCGCTGGGGTGGGCTGAAATATTGGCGGAGCCAGTGATTACATAAAATTTATCTCCAAAAAGTCAGCGAACTGGCCTGTAAGCACACGTGGGAAATGCGCCTCTGCCTTCTTCGTTGTGTCGGTTTCGTGAAAACGACCAGCTAAGTTTCAAAAAAATAAAAAGACTGTTAAAAGCAAGTTATTCCGGCCATTGGGCACAAGCTAACCGACTGGCGGAGTCATCCACTGCGTTAGAGAGTAATGCGACATCGAAATCCGCGATTGAGATCGACGTCTCGGATTTGCTTGACCTCACCTCTCAACCACAGCCCGTGGCCTTGTGGATCAGAAATTGGAGCCACTGCGTCATGCTCAGTCGGCTGCAGTCACATGTCATCGGCGATCACCTAACTATCCTGATGGCATGAGAGAGAATGCAGATAAGTATTGTCCACAAGCGCAAAGCCTACCGACTTAACTGAACGGCCGTGTGTTCTCCTACAATCATGCGCAGGTATTGCATCGAATAAGGCCACTTCCAATGTTGCATGTTTAAAAAAATATTTGGTTGGATCTCATTTTGTAGCCGTACATGCAGTTGACAAGTTCCTTCCTAAACCCAACCCCTAACCCCAGCCCTTACTTCTTACCACAACTCTGCCACTCTAACGCCAAAAAGCCCCTAGCGACAAGCCCCAACATAACGCTAACCGCTAACCCTGATCCCCAGCTCCACCCCAAACCCCTTACCTCAACCCCTAAACCTTAATCCTAACCTCTTACAGGCACGGCTACGAAGTAAGATCTTGCCAAACAATTAAATGTGCTAATGTAAATTAGAAGACCATTTGGCGATCATACGCATGGTTTCGACCATTTCTCATCGGGCAAGTACATTTATATGGGGTTGAGGTACAAATCAAAACGTATGAGCGATAAGAGCAATCGATGACACTTAGTCTTTTCATACAAGCGGGCTGTGTGAATAGGGGTGGAGAGGAGGCAGTGGGGGTTAGGTAGAGCCATGTGTCGCAAAGTGGAGGGGGGGGGGGAAACCAGGGCGCGGAGACATGCATGCAGTTAATCAATCTTTGCCCGTGGTAGACGCGGAGCGCGCAAGATGTTCTTCTGTGCGCATAGGACCTACCTCCGTAGCTGATGGAAGTCACCTCGGCTCTTTCTAGCTGGTTTGACTCGGCCGCTTAGGATAGTTAGGTGGGACCTTGTAAATCACACGGAAGGCTTCTTTGGGGTCAACGCGATGCTCGGAATCGATCATGTATGCGAGGATGGAGGGTGGTCGTACGAGTCGGCGCCTATCCACAAGAATGCAAGAACATCTGCCGGCGTGGTTTAGGAAAGGTGAAGTTAAGAGCATAGAGAGCTCCATCCTCTCTCAAATGTTTGATTCAGGGCATCGTGTGGACCTCAACGAAGCCTTCCGCGTGATTTACAAGGTCCCACCTACGGAAGGTGGACTAACTCACGAAATTTCAACCGAAATTATGAAATGCGTTCTCGTTTCAAAAAGATTAATTAAGTAAGGTTGCAAAATTAACCATTATGCAGCATAATTCTATAATGATCCAGTTACCTCAGGATGCCGGCTTTCGAATGGACTTATTTCTGACTATACTCTGCAAAAATGACTATTTAAATGGCTGGCTACTAAATAGCATGCAATTTTCCCACTGATTTTCGATGCCCTTGACAACTCAATTATATTTCATGGAAAACGTACATAAACATATTCACTCTTTTATTTATTCGGTAGAAAATCACGCCTTCTTCCAATTTTATACTCGAAAGAACGGTCTAGTTTGGTTTTAAAAAAAATTCTAATTTCGAATAATTTTGAACCCGACCTGCTGT